CGCCGAATCCTCTGAGTCAAGTAGTAAGTCTCGCTGTCAACGGCGTAATCGAACCCCCCTGCAACGTGCGAAACAAATTAAAACGTAATTCTCTAGTATATAATTAATCAATCGTTAACTAATCAAGGACTAAGAAATTAGTACGTACTCGGGAGATTCCAGGGCTCCGTAGCATAGACGTTGAGTTCTTTGAAGAGGCCGCCGTAACGGGACGGGATTCCTTTGAGGATGTTGGCGAGGTAGTGGGTGACGACTTCTTCGTCGGTGGGCGCGAACTGAACACCTGGGTACGACGAGAACCGCATCGCCGTTGATCGCTTTCTTGCTTGATTAACCCTCAACGTCGCTTTTGCATGAGAATGAATGAATTAATTACTTAATTAACGAGGTATATGTAGGGGTAGGGGTAGGTATTGAGCACTAATCCTACGCGGAGTCGGATCAAAGCAAACAAAATTAGAAACTAATGATTGAAGTAGTTCGACTTCAGTCAACTTAAATATTTTGCACTTGCATGCGCATCCAGTTTTGTTTGTGGTACCTTTTATGTTTCCTATCTGGGACTACTAATTATATGCTAGAATATATGATGAGACTATAATGAGAAGAAAAAAAGAAAATATACGTAACGTGTGTCAACTCAAAGGGGTATTCGGGTAAATTTGTTAACTTTTGGGGGTTTTTTTTTCCTCCCTTACATCCTCACAATTAGCTTCAACTTTTGGTTCGTGGCATTTCTTAATATGTACGGTTGTACTCTGGGTCCATTTTTGCTTATACCATTACTTTATATAGTTACCAGGAAACCATTTCTTAAATAAAAATTATCAAAAATTATGGATAATGGCTCATCAGATCATAAATTTTAGGCTCTACAAAATTATTTGCCAATTAGTCAAAATGACTAAACATAGCCAAATGTCATGTGTTATATATATAGCTCATGAAAATGTTAGTCTTTGAGTAAACAAATTTTTTTTCCTTGTGTTGAGATGAACGAAAATGGACAAAAATCATTGGTTATAGATCATAAAATGGTGAATTATGGACTACGCAAAATTATTTTTTAATGGATTAAAATGAACAAATTAGCCAAAATCATTGATAACAAATCATGAAATTATGAGTTTGGACTTTTTGAAGTTCTCCATGGGATGAAATGAATAAAAAAGACCAAAAATCATGGGTTATATAGCTCATGAAATCGTAAATTTTGAAAGCTATGAAATTATTTGCTAATTGGTCAAAATAACTAATAATAGCTAAAAACTGTGGATTAAACCTCATAAAATTATGAACTTTGGACACCACAAAATTATTTCTCAATGGGTCGAAATGAATAAAAATAACCAAAAATCGTGGGTTATGTAGATCATGAAAGCATGGATTTTAATATTCGTGAAATTATACGCTAATGGGAAAGAACAATAAAAAATGACCAAAATTATGGATTATACTTCATGAAATAATAAATTTTGGACTCTATATTTTGGACTTTGTAATATTGTAGTCAATGGGTCAAATAAAAAAATGGTCAATCATTGTGAGTAATAATAATGCATAAAATTATAACGTTTCAACTACATAAATAATTTGCCAATGGTTTGAAATGAATAAAAATGGTAAAAAATGTGGGTTATAGCTCATGAGATCGTGAATTCCAGACTCTGCAAAATAATTTATCAATATGTCAAAACCAATAAAAATGGCCAAAGATCATGTGTAATAGCTCTAAAATTATCAATTTTAGACTACACTAATTATTTGCTAATGGGTCAAAATAAAAATGTTCAAAGATGATCGACTATATCATATAAAATTATGAGTTTTGGAATCCACAATTATTTGTAAATGGGTCAAAATGAATAGAATTAATTGCCAAAAATTATGGGTTATGGCTCATGAAATCATGAATTTTGTCTCCATGAAATTATTTGGTAATATGTCAAAATGACTAAAAATAGCCAAAATTTTTGGGATATAGCTCATGAAATGGTATACTTTGGACTCCGCGAATTATTTGTCAATGAGTCCAAAAGAAAAGAAGGCCAAATATCATGGGCAATAGCTCATGAAATAGTGGATTATGGACTACACGCAATAATTTGCCAATGGGATGAAATGAACAAAAATAACTAAAAACATAGTTTACAGTCTTATAACCATGAATTTTAGACTCTAATAAATTATTTACCAATAGGTAAATATGAATAAATTGCCAAAAATCATGGGTTATAACTAATAAAATCGTGTTTTTTAGCCTCCCTAAAACTTTTTTTCTAAAATGATTGAAAATGGATAAAAATTATGAGTTATAGCTCATAAAATCATGAATTTTAAACATTAGAAAGTTGTTTACCAATGGGATAAAATGAAAAAAATAACCAAAAGATTATGCGTTATAACTCATGAAATCGTGAATTTTTTTAGACTCCATAAAATTATTTCTCTATGTGTCATAATGAATTAAAATTACCAAAAATTATAAAGTAGCTCTTGAAATCATATATTTTGGCCTCTATGAAGTTATTTTCTAATAAGATGAAATAAATAAAAATGACCAACAATTGTTAGTTCCTGAAATTATAAATTTTGGACTCTACAAAATTATTTTCCAGTGGGAAGGAATGATGAGAAGGGGTAAAAAAACATGGGCTATAGCTCATAAAATCCTAAATTTTATCCTCCGTGAAATTATTTGATAGTGGGTCAAAATGATTAAAAATGACCAAAAATCATGGGTTATAGCCAATGAAATCATAAATTTACATTCTTGAAATTATTTGCTAGTGAAATTATTTGCATTCTTGAAATTATTTACTTCATATCTATGTATCTGCTGTGGAAGGATTGAGTTGTAGCCTTATGTCCTATTTGTAGGTATATTAATTTAAATAATGTGTTTTTGAGCTTTTCGACTTGACTAGTACACAAACCTTCTTTTCATGTACTTATGTGCATTTTGTGTCAAAATGTGAGCAAACAAATAAAATGTATTTATTAAAAGATGATCAAAGATCCACATCTAATAAAATCCACAGAAACTGAGTGTATTTATTCAAATATGGTCAAAGACCTATACTCATGGATTATTATTTGTGCGTTTCTCAATGGGTAACCATCCTATATTCAATATAAAATATATTTAGAGATGGCGTAAATCTCCCGCCAAACAAGATTGTCTCCCTTGTATGTCCTATATGGCTAAGGTGATAGAGTGACATTTTAGCATTTAATTTTAAAGATTAAGTTAGCTCGAGTCTTTATATCAGCTTAATTATTAATCACAATTTTATAGCTGAATATATATCTTATGAACTAGTTTAAGTCCTTCACTTTCTATTTCACACACTTATATTGATTTTCTCATCTTTTCATGTGTGCATATAGCAGTATTTTTCTCATGTTCATATATTCTATGGTTCAATTTTGATCATTGTGCTATTTTTAGTTCAAATTACTATGTGAACATGTGCGCATATCTCTCACATACACTTTTTAGATGGTTTCCTCTAATTTTATCTTGTATCTTATATGTCCATAGATTTGTTTTCAAACTTTTGATAATAACAAAGGGGGAGAATTGAGTGATATTTTGTTTTGTGCATTAGTTATTTGGTTTCTCAAGAATTTTTTGAGAAAACTCAAAGTGTTATTGTTGGGGAAGCTTCACAATACCTGTCCTTTCATCACACCTTCCATGTATGCATGAATCTAGAGGAAATATTGCATACCATTTCCTATTTCATAAAAGTGGATGTGCATTTGTTTGATGTATACATATCTCAAACATGTTAATTGCGATATTTCAAATTTTAAGGTTGTTATTACTAAACAAGGGGATTGTTAGGATATTGTTTGTGCATTATCTCTTGTTTGAGTAATAACAAATATTCATTTGAGTTTAATCTATATTTGAAATGATCTAGTATAGGAATATACAAGTGTGGAACAAGAACTAGGCGAAAAGAATCGAAAATCAGCTCAAAAGTTTATTTCAGCTTCATGGTTTACATTGACCATAGATGATGACCACGAGACCATCAATGTTGCCTTAGGTTATCGGTCATGCAAAAGTCCAGAGAGGTTTTAGATCAATGATGGGGTCAATGACCATCGATTTTCACTTCAACACCATTGATGAATCGAGAGCCACCATTGATGGTTTGATGGTTGAAATGAATTTTTAAGCTTTTAACCTTAGCCTTTCATTGTACATCCAACCACAATCCTCTCCTATATTTTAAGGCAATCTTTCCTAACCTAATTTGAAGAAATAAAGAGAGAGAGAGAGAGAGAGAGAGAGAGAGAGAGAGAGAGAGAGAGAGAGAGAGAGAGAGAGAGAGAGAGGAAATCTAAGCTTTGTGTTTGTTGACCAAGGAGAGCTTTTCAATCCCCAGAAGCCTTGTCAATCGCTCACACGCTGCACATAATATCATTGGATCGGTTCACAGTGAGGAGAGCTGCCCTTGGAGTCCATCATTATCCATGTTCTTTA